CAAGAATTCTGACATGAAAGCTTTGCTTTCAAATACTGGATAGGAAGAAACTGATTTTGTTTTCTCTTTGATGCATCACTGTACCTTTAAGACAGGGTGAAATACATACGGTTTTCCAAATATTAGACTCTTAATTTCCATCAGCCCCAGTAATAATGATTGGAGTGATTGAGTATTGTAGTTCAATTATCCTCTACCTTTAAGGGCTGCATAATATTCAAGGGAGTTGGCAAGTTAAGCTGTTCCAATCTCTTCATCTCCATGGCAAGAACAATTTCACCTGCTATTGCTCTTAGTGTTAAAGGCACAAGGTAGTCCAGAGCTAAAATTCAGCTTAGCTGAAATTTGGCTTAGATTGAACTGCTCAACTGTATAGCCCTATTATTTTTTCTTTTAGATTTTTTAACCCACCTTTATTATTTTTATAAATAACTCAAGGTATGAACATACATCATACTCCTTCCTCCTCCTATTTTCCCCACAACAACAACCCTGTGAGGTGAGTTGGGCTGAGAGAGAGTGTGATTGACCCAAAGTCACCCAGGCGGCTTTCATGCCTAAGGCAGGTCTAGAACTCACAATCTCCTGGTTTCTAGCCTGGTGCCTTAACTACTAGCCTAAACTGGCTCTCATTATTTTACCCTTATTTTGCCTAATTATTATTTGATTGTATACGTGGAGTTAGACTCCCTTCCTTTTGGACATCAGTCTTACCAATCTGAGGTAACAATACTAAATCTCAGGATATCAATACAGATGAGTAAATTTCAAACAGCAGCAAATATATGGGAAATATTTGTTCCTAGGAGGGGCAGGATTGTATATGCCGCATAGATCAGTACACTGCTATCCAGTGGGTGGATTCACTAAGGCAGGGATGACCAACCCTTGGCCTAATTTAAAATCTTTCTGCTAAAGAACAGTTTAACAGCTATTTGTCCTGTCCTCACAACCTAATGCTTAGGGAGAGAGAAGAGGGCAGAACCAAAAAGAAAATGTCAGAGAATAGATGTCCCACTCACTGCTTCCTTCAGACCTGCTCACAACGTGATCTGAAACTGATTATCCCAGGGGGAAGAAAAATTTGCCCTCCCTGGAGTCAAGCCATGGCTTATTTTAACTGTGATTTGTTGAACAAGCCATGGTAGCTTGGTTCAGATGTATCATTGTCATAAAGCATGGTTTAAAAACCACTATGCTGTGGTTCACATTCTATATTCAGCCCAAATTAAACAAATTGCTTTTATGCTTTAATGTAAATTTCTCCATGGGGGAGAGAGTGCACCTGCTTTTTTGGGCCCTGTAGAATCTAGCAGAGAAAGGAGAGTAACGCATGGGCCCCTGTACACAGCTGGATTCCAAAATTATGCTGGCTAGTGCTGATAGGAGATGGAGCTCAAAATTCTGGAAGGCCGTATGTTGCCTACTACCCCTATAGTTTAAAACACAGAAATGGGTTCTTCCTTTAATGTGCTGTATTAAATGCTGTGTACACTGCTGGAGAGCTGGCCAAGAGAAGGGCAAAATAGTAAGAGACTGCACAGTGGCTAATTCTTTAGGTGTTCCTTACTTATTTGTGGGACTGCATTTATTGCATTCTTGCAGAGGAATGATGGTTTAGAACAGCCTTTGCCAACCTATCGGGATGATAGTAGTTGTAGTCCAACACATCAGGAGAGGACCAGATGTGGAAAGCCTCGTTTAACAGCACCAAGAAATAGAGAAGATTAGAAAATAGCTTGACAGAGGCATCTCATGTTGTTTAAATCAAACCTGCTGCTTCTTGCACTCCTTATTCTTCACCTCTTGCCTATATCCTGTTAACACAGTTTCTTTTGTATAGAATTTGTCAATAGGGCATTGATGAATGAGCTTAACATAAATAAGCTTTGCACCACCAAAACTGCTAAGCGTAAACTTCCATGGAGGCCAGGTTGATAAATAAACAGTTGCTGCTTTTTCTCTTGAGTTTGCATTTAGGTTACTCACCCCTCATATTCCCAGTTATTTCCTGCAAGTGCAAAAAATTACAATGAGATTCTCAGTGTCGAAATTCTTTTCGTGTGGCACTGTGGCAATGAGGGAAAAGGTATCGAGAGATGTCACTATTGAACTGGTATCTCTGATTGAATGTCAGTTGCCCACAAAAAGCTCTGCAATACTATGTGGTGACAAAGATTTGTTATTCTGGTAAACATTTCACATATGGAGGACAAGTGGATGCTTCAGCCAGCCATGCTTCCCAGGAGGGTAAATTCTACATTTTTAATGGCCACCTGGACACCCCAGTGTACATCAGAAGTGGAAACCATATATCTACTACCATTGACCAAGGAGCTTCTATTTTGGGTATCAGGGCTGCTGATATGATTTATTCATGAAGTTACCTAATGTTCTAAAAGAAGATACATTAAAATCTGAGGGAAAAAAGTAAAAAATAAAAATATTTTTTAATTTAAAAAAGTAACTAAAAAGTAAAAAATGAAAATAATTCCTGTAGAAGTACATACAAAGGTTAGGGAGGGGGGTGTAAAAACCCTTTATGTACAAAATGCCCCAAATATCATATAATTCTGAAAGTATGTCTTGGGCCCCTCTTGAGCAACTACTAGTCTAAAGAGAAACTTTAAACTGGAAGAGGAACTTTGCAGTGCTTTTGAAGTTGGCTCAGTATGGACAGGTCACTTGTAATTGCTGGCATGAAGGTGGAAACTTTCCCATCCAGGTCTTGAACGATACCTTAACTCCTAGGTAACAGTTGAGGCTCTCCAGCTTGAGGTCTGAAGGGATGTCCCTCTTTCCATTATGGTAGGATATACTTGGCTTGGATTTGCTTTTTGAAGGCTCTGTTTCCCTCTCTTCAATTAACTTTGTTTTCCTCATTGAGACTGTTGCCAGGAAAGCACTTCTCTCTAAGAGATGCAGGAACCTGAGCCTGTCTCTGTGCCTGTGACAACAGGAAACTTGCCTGTCTACTGGGCAGGGATTGGTAGTGGGCATTGTAAAGCCCATGGTACCTTAATACTTTCCATATCGGATAGATAAATAATCCAACAGTTCTACAGCTTTTACAGGTGGGATGAGGGGTGGGGGTGGGAATGAGTGCAATCAGCATCCTTATGCTAAGGTAAAGAACTTACAGTAGTTGAAATGAATCAGGGTCCTAAGTCATTAGAATAGCTGTGACACCTTTTATTTTATTTGCTCATTCCATTGTAAGGCTGAGAACTCACTGCATTAAGTTTAGCTCAAGAATAAGGGATAAGAAAGCCACCTATCTTTGGTTCAGGAATAGGAAACATGCTAAACTACAAAGATGTTAAATGAAACTCATGTGCGTGTGTGTATGTGTGTGTATATGAACATATATATATATACATATACATATATACATACACCCACACCTACACGTCTTCAAATGGGGAGTGAGGGGGGCATGTTCCTGAGAAGGATAAGTGAAGAACACCAGGGTCACCCAAGGTGTGAATGTCATTCCAGCTGCCAGCTAAAATAAGCGGGCACCTATATTGGACAGCAGTGATATAGGAAGATGCCAGAGGCAGATGATAACTTGGTGAGGTGATAGTAAAGGCATAATTTCATATTGTGTGGGAGAAGGCAGTGGTAAACCACTCCTGTATTTTACCAAGAAAACCACGTGGATAGATAAGATAAAGTGATTGATAATGACGGGCCCCTCAGGTTGGATGGCATTCAACATGCTACTGAGGAAGAGCTGAGGATCTTTTGGAGTATAAATGGTATTTATGATATGGCTAGATGAAAGTGTTGGGGACATCTAGTTGCGGATGTTGCTAGGCAAGTCGAAGCTGCAAAAAATAGTTACAATGGCAACATGGAATGTAAGAAGCATAAACATAGGAAAGCTCAGCACAGTGAAAGATGAAATGAATTGATTACACATTGACATCTTGGGCATCAGCAAATTCAGATGGACTGGGATTGGACACTTTCAGTCAGAAAATCACACTATTTACTACTCAGGACCTGAAAAACAAAGAAGAAATAGTATTGCTTTCATAGTCAGAAAGTATACAGCAAAGACAATACTTGGGTACAGTGCAGTCATTGATTCCATGATATCAGACAGACTTCCTAGACAACCCTTTAATATGACAATTATTCAAGTTTATGTTCCAACCATTGATGCAGAAGAAGAGGAGCTTGACAAGTGTTATGGTCAAGTTCAACCTGAAATTGACAGAACATACAAGGAAGATCTGCTGTTTGTGGATGAAGACTGGAATGCCAAAGTAGTAATGGAATGGAAGTAGTAAGAAAGAAAACATAGTTGTGCTATATAGCCTAGGAAACAGAAATGAAGCAGAATGACTTACAGGTGATCTTCATTTAACAATCACTCCTTCAGCAGCTGTTCAAACTTACAACTGTACTGAACGAGAGGTAGTTACAACTGGACCTCATACCTATGGCTGTCGCAGCATCCCCATGGTCATGTGATCATGATTTGTGACCTTCCCTGCCAGCTTCCCACAAAGTCAGTGAGGAAGCCAGCAGGAAGTCAGAAGTCATGGTCATGTGAGGTTGTCGCTTAATGACCTGTGTGGCCCTCACTTAATGGCAGCAACTGGGACTGCCAGGACTGCCATCGCTAAGCGGTGCAGTCACATGTTTTTTTGACTTACAACTGCATCGCTTAACAATGGTGTTTCCAGTCCCAATTAACATAGTTAAATGAGGACTACCTGTATCAGTTTCTGCCAATCTAATGATTTCTTCATTGCTAATACCGTCTTCATACAACCAAAACAACACCTATCTATGTAGACATCACCAGATGGAATACACAAAATTCAAATTGACTATACTATTGGCACAAGGAGACAGGAAAGTTCAATTATAACAGCAAAGATGTGGCTGGGAGCTGACTGTGGAACAGATTGTGAACTGCTCATGTGCATGTTCTAAGTCAAGCTAAAGAGAAAGAACAAAGTCAAAGTTCCTGATACAATCTTGAGCATATACCCACCATTTTGAAGAAAAATGTTAGCCATCACTTTGAAATCCTGAACCTCATTAATAGGAACCAGAGGAATTGTAGAATGAAATCAAAGACGTTGTTAAAAATGTATAGGAAAAAAGACTGCCAAAGACTAAGAAACTGAAGAAAACAAACTGGATGTCAGAACAGTGGAAATTGCCAAGAAAGCTACCACTGATGCCACAATAAGTTAAATGATTTACACTAAAGTTCAGCATGTGGTGGCAGATACCTGAAAGCATGGAAGGATCAAAATACCCAAATCTCCTTAGGGGTCTTTTGTGTAAATAAAAAACACATACACACACACATAATATAACAGACAGGCAAACCTGGTTGAAAAATCCTGATTCCTTGGTTGGAGAAGAAATCTAGTTCATACAGTACTGTGGACTATATTCACTTTCTTGAGAGATATTGACAGAATGATTAACTGTTCTACCACACATTTTGAATAAAGTGACTGAAACTTTTTTTCTACTTAGTCTACTGGTTTATTGAGGCTAGGATAGTGCTGACTTTGTACACAAGGCTGTCTCTGGGCAGAAGTGAAAAAGAGGACAGTAAGGTCCTGCATCGGTACAGAATAGGTTAGTGTGTACTATGAACTCTTTAAAACAGGTGATTTCTCTGTTCTTGTGAGGGTTTCAAGTGGGTCTTTCCACAGCATCTTCCCCATTCAGGACAGCAGCCTCTCTGGTCATGCTTGGGGTCAGGGAGTCAGTGGCACCCTTGGTAACTGTTCAGCAGAGAAGAGATAGCTATCTGTGATGGCTCGTCCATAAGTTCCTAGAAGACAATGTTGGACCAAGCAGATGGTAGACCTCCAGTGTCCAGCTATTTCACCAATCAATACTAAAAGAAAACCACAACTTTTGGTCTTGGGAAAAGGTAGTGGAAGAACTGCTCTTGGTCTACCACTAGACTGATTGAGCTTAGCATGGAGTACCAATGGCCCCCACAGGGGGAGGTGACTCTCCGGGCTTGTCAAAGAAAATATTTGAGGACATCTCAGTTTTGATTTTGCTTTCAGAACCACCATCACTGGAAGTAGTTTCTTGACCACATTCATCACAGCAGCAGCAGCAGCAGTCCATGAAGGCCTGCCCCAGGGGTTTGCAAAGACACAGCAGAAGCACAGGAGTAACTGAACATTTGAAGAACAAGAAGAACTGGTTGACCAAGCTTAATAGGTCCAGGGTCTGTTTTGCCATGTCAGGAGACAGGTAGGCCACAACAATATTACTAACATTCTCAGGAATGATGCAGAGACCATAGATTACTGTTAGGCCAATCACTGTGCAATTGAGCTGGCTCTCACACTGCCCATGCTTGCTACCACGGCACTCAGTCTTCTCTGAGCTGCTGATCCTTCTGGTGACCAGCTGGCAGCTGACAGTGAAGAGGATAGGCAGGCAGAAGTAGCATCCAAAGTACCACCACATCCTGGCATTCTGATAAGTGAGAACCAGAGAATAAATTGACTCAGGCAGCTCCTGAAAAGGTTTCATGGTGCAGTAATCAGACACTACACCAGAGACTGGTGAGGTGTCCTGTGCTAGCTGCCAGAGAAGGAGCTCTGGGATTGAAAGCGTCATGGAACCCACCCAAATGACAGCCAGCTTGGCAATAATGGAGTGGCAGTGTTCAATTGGGCGGAGTTTGGCTTGGGGACTGGTAGCCGCGTGGAATCTGTCAATGCCCAAGGCACAGAGGCTGAAGGTAGTGATTCCCAAAGAAGACACCTAGGAGCACAACAAAGAGAGATTGTTGAACTGAGATGGCCAAAGAGAGAAATGAAAATTAAGGAGAGGAGAATGTTTTAAGCTAATGGGGCAATACAAACATTTTCAATTTTGTGCAAAAGGATTTCAAAGAAAAAACAAACTCTGTTTCTAGCATAAGAAATTCATCCACCATATGCAGACTGATGCCACAATAAAACATGATGTACAAAGCAGGGAAAGTCATTCCAGTCCCCAACATTTTTTTTAAATGCTCCAAGAGCCACAGTACAAGTTTGTGAAACAATTCTTCAGAATAGAGATAGCAGCATGGAAGATGGAAAGTTATTAAAAGGAGTAATATATGTCATATCCACTTCTGTGTGTATGTGTGCGTGCCTCTCTCTCTCTGAGGATTATGCATGGCATGAAATATAGTTGAATACACTGTAGAAGGAGGAATCCCAATCACAAATGTTTTTTTAAAAAAATGGGCATCCCTGCAAACACTGTAAAAAAACTAATATGGAAGTGCAAGAATAGTTTAGACGACTTTTCCCTTATGCATTACATGATATTCTCTATCATCAAAAAAAAAATCACTCTACCAAAATGGATGTGTTCTCTAACAGCTTTTCCCCTCCCACCCCTTTATTCTATTCTTTGCATATCATGCTTCCCTGATCCACATTTTCCTATTTACGGAATGCAGTTAATAAGGAAAAACAGATGGGAGAGCCACCTGAGTAGTTCAGGAGAAGTTTTTAGGTCATTAGATAGTACTCCTTAAGCAACCTTTGGTCCTTTCCAAACAATTCACTGAGTCAAAATGCATCTACTCTCTGAGCATCAGATGAGTTAAAGTTTGTTGATGTCCCAAACCAGCTTTTGTTAATTTCCGCTGCATTCAAAATCCCAGGAAAACATCCTTGTCTGCCAAAAGGGAAGATGGCAAAGCGTGGAGGAGAAAATGCCAAACACTGGGTGGGTTGGACAGACAATGTAGAACATGAATAAATATCAGCCGGGGGGTGGGGTGGGGGGGCGGAGGGAGCTCGCCTCCTCGCACAACACTCTCCATTACAAATGCTGTGCTTTCCTTTGGTTCTATGCCTCGTTTGGATGGCTGTTTATAGACTGCTGAAGTGCTCTGGGCCCTAATTGCAGGCACCCGCTCACTTCTGAGAGGAAAAAGGGGCATTCATTTAGTACAGGAAGCTTCGGAAATTAAGCAAAGAGGCTTATTTTCTTTATTCCTCCCTCTCCCTCCCTCCCTGCCCCATTTCCTTTGAACTGTAGCCAAACCAGTACAAAACAGCAATTCCAGGGTACAACTGTTATCTCTCATGGTGTTTATTAAAGTATGTGCTTTCAATGGTTGCTTAAAAAGTTGATGCAAGGTCATATTCATATTTGTGGCCATCACACTGATGAATGCTAAAGAAAGATGGGGTTTATGGAGAACTTCCTTGAAAGGCCAACTCAAATAAAGAATTTGGTGTTCCAAGCAGTTGCACTACATGATCCCAAGGACTTTGCGGATTATTACAGAGGTCACTTGGCTGCTTCTGCTGTACAATACAAGGATGTCTGACTGAAGCCACAGTTAAGCTGGTTGTACTGTCAACTGGTCCTAAAATGTAAGTGAGGAGATTTCTACGTGAGTAATCATATTAGCATGTTGCAGCAAACAGGAGGATCTCTTCAAAATGAACAAATTTATTAAGGTGTAAGTTGTCATTTTAAAACTTGAATTCTGCTACTTACCATAATACTATGATATACTACAATACTTTGTGTGTGTGTGTGTGTGTGTGTGTCTTTGAGTCAATGCTGACTCCTGGCGACTGCCTGGACAAGTCCCTGCAGTTTTCTTGACAAGGTTTTTCAGAAGTGGTTTGCCATTGCCTCCTTCCTAGGGCTGAGAGAGAATGACTGGCCCAAGGTTACCCCGTTGGCTTCTTGCCTAAGGGAGGACTAGAACTCATGGTCTCCCAGTTTCTAGCCTGATGCATTAACCACTACACAAAACTGGCTGTAAATAAAATAAGTAATTAATGTTGCTTATTCAATTGTAGATTAATAATAATAAGACACATTTATATCCTGTCTTTCCTCAGAGAGCTTAAAGTAGCTTACCTGGAAGACTTCCTTAATTTTCCCTCCATAACAACAACTCTGGGAGGTAGGATAGGCTGAGAGGGAGTAGCCCTGTCACCCAGAAAGCTCTGGGTCGAATGGAAACTTGAATCTGAGCTTTTCTTCTCCAAAGCTGGCACTTTAGTCACTATACTACACAGGCTTAAAGTATTAATACTGCCGCTTTTATAATACGCATATTTATTTAAATTTATTCAATTAATTAAGAGGCCAATGGTTAACTATGTTGAAATTCTTTAATTAGCTGACAAGCTTACTTATGTTTGTCATAAGATCCAATTAGAACCTGTCAGTGGGAGTCATATTTGTTTACATATCTGCCCACTTCATTTCTAAAGTGGTGTGGAAGTGGTTGTACATCAAAAGGAGCACACAAGCTAAAGGGACCATACCTCTTCCACTGTTTTTTTCCACCCCTTTTCCTCACTTCTGCACCCACTGTAATTCATTTTCTCTCAGTGGGTGCAGAAGTGAGGAAAAGAAATGGGCAGAAGAGATATAGAGTGTGAGAAAGGGAAAAAATCAAGTTTGTTTTCCCTCAGCTTTGTGCCCATTTTGAAACATGCAAGATAAAGGCGTGATAAACAACTGAACAAGCAAAGAGTTGCCACCATCAGTGAGCATCAAAAATTCTGTGATTAAAAAAGTGAAAAAAGGCACACTTAAAAAAAAGCAGACCAAGCCCATGTTTGGTTGAAATTAAGAGTCATCTGGAGTAACATGCTGATATGAAAACCTGTGTGGAGTAGATACAAAGCTTTGTAAAATTCAAAGAATGGATCCATAATGGCATTGCAAATTTGCAGCAGGGTTCCTGACATGGCAGACAGTGGAGGGGGCTGGCATTAGCAGAAGCAGCTGCCACAAAATCTAGTTCCATTTAAAATAACTTTCCTTAAATAGATGCTATCCAGATCCTTTACAGCAGATCTCTACATTTTACCACATTTCACAGAATAGCCCTCTATCGGATATGGGGTTTCTTTTATGAAGAATAATCCAAACCTACAATCTTTCATCTGCAACCTGAAGTCATACAGTGCCTGAGGGGGAAAATGCAGCATGTGGTAATTGCTGCTTTGGTAGGGAGCTTTTGTAGAACTATGCTTAGAATCCCAGCCACAGAGTCATTGGCAGAAAAGGAAAACATTAAAGAGTCTTTATTGCAGTTCTTGAATTAACAACTCAATCATCCATATTGTAGGAGCAGCAGTGCAAATGTAGACATCTGGGCTGATGACATCAGGAGAAGCTGGGTGATGCAAGTTTGCAGGCTTGTACATCTAACTGACCAAACATAGAAAGTCAGTGAAAAGTTGTTCTTATATGACCTAAACGTTTACTGTAACTCCAAAGATATGGAGGGAATTGTCTAGTGTTAATTTTAGACAATATTTTGTTATGAAACTATGAACTTTTAAGACATACAGTAATCCACTAGTTATCCTGAAACAAGTAAGTGTGCAAGAATAAGGACAAATATTTAATGGAAAGACAAATATTTAATGAGATGAGGGGAACTCAGTAGTGTTTATTTAAAGCAATTTTCATGTGGAGACAGAGAATCCTAACACAGCTCATAGTGTGAAAGGGAGCATGGCATCTCTGATTTTGCCATTTCTCCACTGCAAATCTCCTCTTTTCCATATGGATAGCTGCATGTCTGTTTTTGATGCAGAGAGAGACTCAATGATACAGAGCAGTTTTTGCAAAAGAGAAGCTATTAGTTCATATGTAGAATTCCTTGTAGATGTTCTTTTTCCCTGGAAGATAAAAACTTGGCAAAAGCAAACAAACAAAAAAACCCAATAAATCAATAAATATCAGAATACTGCAGATTAAAGAAAAAAACACTCTTCAACTTTTCAGAGAAACAAGATCAAACATCCTAACGTCCTCTCTAGTAGGAAAATCATCTGAATGAATACAAATATAAAGATGGCCAGTGGCTTAATTTTAGTAGGCCTACTAGATCTGGACTGCAAAAATCCTTAAGATGACTAGATGGCAGCAAAGCATTAGATTATTTTGTATCTCTTTGCTGTCATCTAGTGTCATCTGGATTTTTGCAGCCTAGATCTTATAGCTCCAATTTTAGATGCTGTACTTTCAATTTTAGGTGTTGGCAGAATGACAGAAAATAGAGTAAACCTAAATCTGTCTCTAGCATTTTCTAATGTTGGTAGATTTTTCACAGCTAGCATGGCTTCTGGCTGTGATAGGATGTGTCCATTGCAAGAATAAGTACTCAACCCATGATTGCATTTTCTTATTTTTCTGCAACAAGTCTTTGACTTGCCCAACTGCTAGTACCCTTGCCATATTACACCAAGGGCCCATTGTCTTCCCTGCCTCCTTCATGTACTGTGCTGTTCCCATAGCCAAGCTCTGAATCATTCACAGATGTCCATCCTCTGCTTTGCTTTCAAATTCTCTTGCACTGAGCAGGGAAACTACAGAAATTATATAGGTATGTGGCAGTTTCTAAGGAAGGACAATCTATTCATTATGATCGATAGAAAATAACTTGCATGGAAAGGGTCCCATCTGAACATTCATAGCAGATATGTACCACTAACCTCCATTTTCAGCCCAAACAAACCATACTTTCAGTATATCTAATCCCACCTCATTCCAGCTGCTTTCTTCCATACTTTCTTGTGAACAGAAGGAACCTGGCCTTTTGAAATTATATCTTAGGTACTATAGAAACACACACGCACACCTCATTGTTTCTTGCTTTGTACATGTTCCAGTTCTCCATATTAATAGCATGGCACTACCTTATAAAATCTTTTAAAGAACTCACAGTCCAAAATTCATGAAGAAGATTCACCAGAAAAGGAGTAGAAGGAAGCAAAGACATAAATAATGATGAAAGCAGTAGGTAATTGTTTCAGTTACATTTGTTTTATTTTATTATATTCGCATGCTGCTCTTTGATTTTCCCAAGATGGCTTGCATAATATTTAATATTTAAAAAACATTTTAAAGTAGCCATTAAATATCAACAATTTCTGTTTTCATATAGCACACTTAGCCAGGCTAATTAAAGGCCTAGCGTACAACATTCTAAGCTTGGTTTGTGTTAGTTAACCTTGATTTGGAGTTTTTTGGCTTAGCATTCTGTGCAAACCCAACCTATTGGTTGGCTGATAATTCAATATATATTGTAAAGTAAGAAAATGTATTAATTCAATAATCTGGTTAAGCACACTGTGTGAATGCAATGCATGTCCTTAAACTTAATTGCACTCTAAATTACAGTATGGCGTAGGAGCTAGTGGTAATTCTGAAAAGTTTCGCTGTGTTCACAGAAAATTAACTTAACCATAGTTCACTCCAAGTTTCTGAGTTTCTATAACCCATCAGACCATACACTAACCACAAGGGCTGAATTCACACATCATGCTAAGCTAAACTGTGATTGGATCATCTGAGGTTCTGTGTGCCATGAGAACACAGCCTATATGGAAAAGGCAAGATTCAAGGAAGAATCTGAGATAAGTGGTATCACACGGATGTCGTAGGAAGCCACAGTATAACAGCCCATGGCCCAGATTAAGGCACAGAACATGATACATTCATGGCCTTCAGGATCCAGGATTAGCATCTGAACAGTTGATTATGTGCCATCAAGTCATTGTCAACTCTTAGTGACCACATGAATCTGTGGAATCTGTTAGATGGACTGGTTAGATACTATGAACTAAACAGTCCACCTCTGTCTTCAGTTGTCCCACATCCACCACACAATATTTTCCTTCCTGGTTAATAGAGAATAAGGGGTTGGACTTATTCTCTATTTCCCTAGAGGACAGGACCAGAATCAATCTGTTAAAACTACAAGGATGTAGATTTGGGCTAGATATCAGGAGGACCTTTCTGACTCTGTATACTATAAGCCAGCGGAATAGGCTTCCACTCATGAATTCTCCTTTGTCTGAAGTCCCGACAGAGGCTGGAGTGATGCTCCAGTGGATCTATGACACTGAGCTCAGTGATGCTCCAGTGGATCTATGACATTGAGCTAGATGATTTCTAAGATCCCTTCCAATTCATAATTCTGTATGTCAGGTCCAAGAGTTCATCCCATATAGCCCAAACTAAATAGATATTTCCAAGTAAAGGTCACAATCTGATCAGACTTGAGGGTAAGTGTAATGATAGCACACTGTCCCTGTAAATGTATGGCTGCCTGAATTTTGAAAAAAAAATGGGATGAATTCAAGAGCAAATTGGGGCAGAGAACAGAAAAATGGTGTACCTTCTGTGCCAACTCCAGATTTGCAGAGGGGGAAACCTGATGCAGATGCCTGGGGCAGCTGCAGGGGGAGGGGTCAAGAGTGTCAAAATGGCAGATGCAATCAGGGCAATCGAATCCCCTTCCCTTTTGCTGTGCGTACACTGCATGTTCAAAAGCTTTGATTGCCCGGTCTTGCCTGGCACTTTGGTGTGGAGACCAACCTCCTCTGGAGGTGCCCCTGGCAAGTGCCTCTAGTTGATTCCCCTTTTGTTGAATTAGCCTCTTTCTTGCTCATGACATCCTGCCCCTTTGGTTCGTTCTTTCTCTTAGCTCACTTTGTATCCCTGTCTAGACAGAAAAAGCAAAGCAAGGAGAAGGCAAGATAAGTAGAGGCACTTGCTTGGTTGCATGTTTAAGGCAAGTTTCTGGGCAGGCAGCCACACCAGAGAAGAGGTAGAGAAAGACACCGAGGGGGCTCTGGGGTTCAGCTGTAGGCCCAATTGCCCCAGGAGGGTTCCATTAGTGCTGTTCTCTGCCTAGGTTTTATTCCAGTTGTGCTCACTTTTGGTGTGGCAGCCAGCTGATAGAAATGCAAGTCCATTGGAGGGTGGCTAATAAATTTAAATAAATAAATAACAATAAAATAACATCAAATGACAAGACTGTGGAAAGCTGAATTCAATGTCACCATCCTTGCAATCCTTTTTAAGTGATATGGGGAGATGTGGATTTATGGAAGTAAGGTTGTTGCTGTCACATCTAGTTAATCATGTCTTTGTAAATCCCCTAGTGCAGAGAAGTGAGGAAGAACTGGGAGAAGAGCCAGTCAGCCTGATAACTTTTAATTAAAAAAACAAACAAACTGGTTTTAAAGTATGTATCCTGGTTGCAGAATCATCTAGCCCTGCAATAAGATGCTCCTTTATTTCAGAATAATGAAGCTATTCTGAGACTGTTTCTGACAATATTATCCAACAATCCTATGGCATTGTTGAAAGAAAATTAAAATGGCCTTTATCCTGTCCCTATTAACAAAGACTCCATGGTAATACATTTCATCCAAATGATATTTTCCATGGAAACTTCACATCATTCAAAACACAGCTCCTCCTCTCCTCTCCATCCTAGGAGAAGCCCAACTAGAAATTCATGAGGGAGGACATGTCATCTTCAAGAGCAGCTAAGCTGAAGTTTTCCACCACACCAGGTTTTGTACAGATTTATGATCAGTTGTAAAGCTCACTTCATTCAATGACTCCTTATTTCGTTCAACCATACCTTGTGAGATTAACCATTATTTGACAGGCGACTATGACATTTACCCCAAACTCCCTCTCACTGGATACTGCTGAACTGCAACTCCCAGCAGGCCTAGCCACCACGACCAGGGATACTGGGAGCTGTAGTTCAGCAATATTCCAGAGCCGCAAGTTCTTCACCCTGGTTATATACAGTATCTTCCAAATATTTCTCATTTATAACTACTTTGATTAAGGTCGTTAATAACTCTTGATTAATTCAAACAGCCTCTGAGATTTAAAGAATTAGAATAGTAACTATTTGTTGTGTCTGCAGAAGAAATCCAGCATTTTCAGCACATGATTCAGGGATAGCAAAATCTTTACTTGCTGTCTTTTTGCCTTATTAAAGGTAAAATTATCCGGTGGGGGGCAGGGGGAGAATAATTTAAGCAGGATCATCCTTTCATAATTAAATGGTCTTCAACCATTTACAAGTGATAATCTTTTACTTCTTGCTAGAAAAGCTTGACTTGTTCCCTTCTTTACCCTGTGTTCCTGTCCACCTCCTGTGCCTGTAGCTGGAAGGTATAATGTGAAATGCATTGTACCCATTGGGCAAGAATTTCTCTTAGTCTGGCACTTCATTTCAGAATTCTCAGTCCTTGAATTATAGAAGAACCTTTGCTCAGTGCAATTAAATGTGCATGATCTCTAAAGAATGATGGCTTGAATCTAGCTCTTGAAATGTCAGATTACAGGAGGCCCACACCTGCTAGTTATAGATTCAGCCCAAGCATTAGATGTACTTACTCTTTTTAATTAAGGTATTCTCTTCTTGAAATGAATCTAAAGTACCGCTTTTATAATCTCAGTGTGAGAAGTAACTAGTTTTCATCATTAATGCAGCATCTCCTAACCTGGTGTTCTCTGTATGTTAGTGCTACATATATGGAAGATACCAAGCTGCTGAACACTCTATTAATGAGTAGATTCTTCTTTCTATTAATGGTTGAATTATTAATATTAATATGAATTATTATTAATCTATTAATGGCTGGATCAAAGTTTGCACATGATTGTTTCCTGGAAATAAAAGGCATAACTTCAACTTCGTATCTCTGGGGTCAACACAGACACATTATTCTCATCAAATACTTGGCATAGAAATAAGCACAAATTAGGTGCATAACTGCACTTGCTTCCATTTTTCCCAGAGGCATTTCTGTTATCTTCTTTGGAACAGAGATGGTGCTTCCTGCAGCTCTTCAGTCAGTCACTCCTCAAGCTTGATGTTAGGAAAGCTCTGCTTATTAGGTATCAGTAAAGCCAAATGACATGGGATCAAGTCAAAGTCAAAACATAAAGCCGGCCAAGCACAAATAATATTATCCCTTCATTCCCCAAATGGAGACACAGTGTTGCTGATAAGATATACTAGAGGTTAGCAGAGGAAACTCTTACCTCCATGAAGGGCACAATGCGACAGGAGATGTTTCCCAGCAGTCTCTTCTTGGTGATCTCATTGAAGATGACCACAGGTAGGCAGAAGAAGAGGATAAGGAAATCCCAGAAAGCAAGGCTGGCCAAAATGGAATTCCAGGCACTTTTCATGTAGTAGTTATGCCAGACAATGCACATGACTGAGAGGTTCCCAATGATGCCCACAGCAAAGACAATGAGGGACAGGAACATGACAGCATAAGCACTATAAGAGCTTTCTGTCACTGGATAGAGAGGGTTTTGGATCTGAAGACGCTTTCCTAACGCCACAGTTCTATTAACCTGGGGCTCTCTATCACCATAGACCGCTGGGCTCCTTTGGTAAGGTTCAGAGGGATCTATGCTGGATGGCACTGGAGGCTTGGTTGGCTGTAAACTGGCTGGGTTGGCAGGCCGAGGAAACTCCACTTTGACTCCTGGAACATACTGCTGAACTGACTTGGCATCATCATCCTTTGTTCCTCTACGTGTCCTTCTCCACCTCAGCTGTTCTTCTAAGAACTGTTGCTCCTCATGACTGCCAGTTGGTCCTGACCCTCTCACCCTGCCCAATTCTCCGAGTAACTCCATCAGGACACCTTTGGAGTTGACGTGTCTTGTTAAGTGACCTTCTCCAGCCTTTTGCTCCATTCTGGAGGGTGCATAGTTTTCCTCAATAAATGGGACAGCACCTTCCTTCATCAGGGTTTCCAGTGGCTGCAGAAAACCAAGCAAAAGCATACCTGTCCAAGGCAAAGACATCCTTCTTTCTGCAAAAACGGAGGGAGACAGAAGAGACGCAGAGAAGGCAATTCACCAAATGAACAGAGATGTCACTGCCCTCAGTGAGAAAAGGAAAAAGTTCCTTCACTTTGACTTGTGGTCTTAAAAGAGGGCCGGGGGCATGGAAGAGGGTGAGCAAAGAGACTGGAGTTTCAGTGCAGCTTCAGTGCAGCTTGAAGACAGAGAGAGACTTTAGTCAGTCCTGCCAGCTCGCTGCCGCTGTTTATTCCCTCAGATCTCTGGGCAGAATTAAAAAAAGAGAAAAAATCCCCAGTAATTCATTCCAGTCCTCTTTTGTTGGACCACAGGCCCCCTGGTGGCCAAGCTACAATGCCTACCAGCCACTGTGAAAAGATCAAAAACCTCACAGGCCTTGAGCCAGGGAAAGAACAGTAGAAAGAAACCACCTGCTTCAGCCACAGACCTTTGTGCAGGCGATTCTGTTTGTTTCTTGTTTTGTATGTTTGTTTTTGTGGTAAAGAGGGTTTATTTCAGAAAGAAGCAGCAGCAGCCTCTCACTGAAACATTCCTCCTTGGCCAAACTCTAGTGAAATCAACATGGTCACTTCTAAAGCCAACTTATGGGTTTTTATGAAGATCGTAGAAAGGTGCTTTGAATAAGGACAAAACAGAAGAGACACCCACATGACAGTGCAATAGGTTCCACAGCTGACTTTTGAGGGGACAGTTCAGACAACCAAGCAGACATGTTGGGACTGTTGGCTGAGTGGACCAAAGAAACTTTAGAAAAGTTGTCCTTAAGCCACATGTCCCAAGGATACTTACTTTGTTTACATGTTACAGCATTTTACCTTATCACTTTTTCACAATGCTGGACTTTTGGTTTTCCTTAATGCTGCATTCTACCCTTTCAAAGTAGTGTAATGATTACAGTTGGACTAGGACTGGGAATGACCCTGGTTCACGTCCTGATTCAGCCATGAAGCTCACTGGGTGACTTAGGGTCAATCACTATCTGATAGCCTAACCCAATTCCACAGAGTTGCTATGTGGATAACATTGGAGAAGGAGTGTATTATGTGCTCCACATGGAGCTGATGGGAGAAAGGTGAGATATAAATAAATACAACATAAATAAGTATCAGCCTCCATTGCTTGGTATTATATGGATTTTTCTCTCTCAGCTTTACAAATGGTAGCATAGCTAAACCATAAAAGTACAGTTGAAATGCCCTGATCTACTTGGGCTAAGGAAAGACTGAGATGTGGCAGAGACAGTGAGCCCCCACTCTGTCTCAGTAAGGCTTACATTAACTTTCCAGATGGCGAAACAAATGTTAATGATGTGTTTAAGAATGTGACCTTGTGTGCATTTAGTAACATGCTTAGTACAGTACATATATATTTCCTGTCAACGAAGTGGGCAGCCAAAAATTGCTAAGAAACTTTGGTCTTGACATCAGTATGACTTTTCCTCCTTTCCTTTTAACATTTTGTTTCAAGAAATGTTGTCTGTGTTCTGTATTCAGGCAATATGCTCAATTTTAAAACTGAATTGTACGCTAAACACTTTCCTCTTCTGCTTAAATTGCTGGCTTGTTAAAGGGCACTTTCACACACTGTGTTTGACCGCTGCAAGATCAGTTCTGTTCTTCTGTGATCCCCCAGTATTGTCCTACCTGGCAGCTGAGCCGACATATTTTCAGCCCAGCTGTGATGCAACCAGAAATAATGTAAGTGTGATTTTCCAGTTGAATCACTGGAACTCTACACAGCTTGAGGGTCGATTTTTCCATTAAATTATAGTTCTTGTCATTCCAGCTAACATTGCTATTGTCTGATGTGAGTTGTAATGTGACACATCTGAAACGCAACAGGTTGGGGAAGACTGCTGTAAATAGAACAGACAAACATGGAATTTTCAAATGGAACCAAATATTCTGTTCCTTCTTGCTAAATAGTTTATAGAGCAGCCCATGGAACTGATTTTTTTCCCCTCTCACTTGAATACTTTCTTTCAGGAGCCAAAAGGCTGTATGTACTAGTTTCAGAGTTCTTTGATTCCCACAATACAGCACGGGAATTGGCATAATAATAATAATTTTAAAAAGCCTCTCATATGTAATCCTTTAATTCCATCAAGGGTTGCTGGGAAGATGGGTTTAGTCCCTAGATAATTTCTGATTTGCTGGCTGAGCCCAGGACATCATAGATGCAATATTGTGCTTGACTGGACGAAGCTAGTAAAATGTAGTCCCATCTACATTCTGTAAAGCTGGGGATAATTGGTCAGAAGAAAATGACAAGGCAAGAAGAACAAAGATCAAGAACGGCTTGCGTATAGACATTCAAGCAAATACCCAACATAAACTCTTGTCAGTCATCTTCTTTGCAATGAACACACCTGCAACCCAAAACCTTATTTAAGGAGGTAATAAGTAATTAGTTTAGCTAGAATGGCTGAATTGATTTTATTTAGAATTCTTTGTGTGTGATTGTTACCTTTTCTCATTTTCCTACAACAAAGTCAGGGTATCAAATAGTGCCCTCCCCCCCAAGTGTTCCAGAGGCAGCATTTAAATTTCATTGAATCCAACTTCTTGTGGAGGGAAACAGCCCTTCTGCAATTCTGACCCTCTTTTAGTCCAGGGAATGTGTATGATTGAAAGCTCTGGCAGCCATCCATGTGGCCAGCTCATTACATTACTTTTATTCCTTTTTCCTTTTCCTTAGCAGACTTTAGCAGACACTCTGACCAGTATGCTCACAGACAGCAACTCACTGTCCATGGACATATCGGAGGGTTTCTCTGATGGCTGGGGATGAACAAGGCAACTGGGCTCCAGTGGCTTGGCAACATGCTCCCACATCTCACTACCATGTTTTCTTCAGGGATACATGACCATGGCTGCCAGGCTGCTAGCCACAAGCCACATGTTGCTGATCCAGCTATTCCTCCAGGGAGCCAGATTCCCCAGGCATTGAACAGGACGGAAGCCAGCAGCACTGGATGCCCAATCCCCCTTCCTCATTACCTTTTACTGGGGCAACCTCTGTGGTGGACCTGCTTCAGTGGCTCTGCCAAGTATTACCTCCCCCAATGCCCTATTCCATCCTGCATACCGTCCACAATTCTCCTAGCAGACAACCTTTGGGCAACTCTGCTTCTGGAAGCCAAAGGAGGATATTCTCAAGCATCCAGAGAACAGGAAGTTAAAGTTACTATAGCACAGAGCTCACAAGACTACAGCCCTAGCCATAAGAGTTTCTCTTGTTACATCTGTCTTCATCCACACCTCTGTTCTATGGCTCAAACACCTAGCCAAACTCATTCTTCCTGAGTAGAGAATTCACCTATGACATGAGTAAACTAGCCTAAATAGAGTGCCATTTTCAACCAGAGGCACAGCAGCCAACATGACCACTAAGAGACAACTATGACTGCACTGGAACATAGACTGCAAGTACAAATCAAGGGTGGAGAACTTTTTGAAGAGGTTTTAGGGTGATGTCCTAATAGGACTAAAGGGGGAAAAGATTCTATCCCTAACCAACAAAAAATAAGAGAAGGGCACCACTCCTTTGAAGCGTTGACAACTTCACTCATTCCTTTCATCCCCCAAAGAGACTCTTGGAACACAACAAACATTTAACATCTTGCAAGGGGCAGAAACCTTAAAGTACCTATTAAGAAGATTGTATCTGAGATACATATCAAAACCTTTTGTACCAATCTAAGGTTGAGGTCAGTGGCAGTAAGATATGTTGCCATAATTATTTTGAGGTTCTGTTCTCACCTATACGTACATTACCTATCCCTTCCTTATGCTCACGTCATCAACATATCCATGCAATCTTACTGGTTTCCTCCAATTTGTTGATTGCAACTATGAGAGGCATCATAATAAACATATCAAGATGGTATTTTGGACTAACTATCAAGCAGTCATTCCCCGAGCAATAAAATTCTGCATGTTATTTAACCATTAACAAAAACCTTAGGAGATATCAGTCCTCATAAACAACAAGAGCTGAACATCTGATCCATCCAGGCTGTTTATGGAAGTGACATGTGCAGTTTTATTTTTCAAATAATATACCCTCCCGCATGGAAGAACCCTGGCATAATGGCTGCATTACGACAGACGTACAGTGACTTTTGCAGTTGCTCAACATTTGGATAATTAAAGCCTTGGTATTATCTCAACTAAAGCCTCAGGCACTCCCTGTCCTAGCAAGCAGCAGAGATGGAAGTCAAAATCTTAAATGCAGATGAATTATAGAAAGGTTATATCATGAAGATTAACTAAGCTTTTAAAAGGGCACTGACTTGGAGTTTAAGTGTTACTTTGTCCCTGCATGCCACCCGAGTGAGGCAGAAGCAGATCTCAGCTTTTTCTCTTCTCTGTAAACCAAACAAGAACTAGAGGTTCATCTCATTTCAGAAAAATTCACATCATTTATTCCTGCAATGATGGGGAGAGGGGTGAAATATGAAGCCATTTCCTCATCTCCATTCTCATCTGGAATACAGTTGGGAATAACATAACTTCTAAATTGATTAGGCATACACACACACACACACACACACACACATACATACATGCATGCATGCATGTTCATTGTCAAGCTATATTCAATTCATTTTTCAGTGTGCAAGATGCACAATGGGTTATGCGAATGAAGCTCATTCCAGCTTAGTGCTCTACCCTTAATGCAAAGCTTCTCTCCTAATGAGGAAAGTAGCCTCTACATGTTTCTTCCTAATGAAGCAGTCACACAAACTTCAGCCAGTCCAGAATGTAATAGCACATGTAACACCACTGCTGTATGAGCTACAGGGGCTCCCAGGAGGCTTCTGGGTGCAATTCAAAGTGTGGTTGTCACTTTTAAAGCCATATGTGGCATGGGGCCAGATTACTTGTAGGACTGCCTATCTTTAGTGGTCTTTGTCTGTCCCACCAGATCTGGAAAAACAGTAGACATGCTTCAGGTCCCCTCAGTGAAGCAGGGTTACCTGTTAAGACCTACGAAGCATGCCTTCTCTGTCATGGTGCCTGCCTTATGGAAGAATGTTCCCTGGAGATTTGGGAGGCCTCCACCCTGGCTTCCCCTCCAGGTACCAAAGGATATTAGTGGAAGCCCAGTATGTGTGTTTGAGTATGGAGATTCTTACAGGGGCCTCAGCTTGGTTCATGTAATTGATTTTGATTGTGTATTATGTTTTTATCTTCTGTTTCTCATCCAGAGTAGATGGGCAGCCATATAAATAATTCACATATATAGTATGTGTATGTATGTATGTATGTGTATAAACACACACACAGATACACACACATACTTTTTGGGTGAGCAGGACCATGTTATGCAGGTGGACAGGGCTGAAATTTGTCAAGATTTTCCCCTTAGATTTATTGGGAGGGGGATTTTGTTTTACATTGTTTTACACTGAAGGCTGGAGGAATGTTTCCTTCAGAAAAATGATTGTACCTATGGTCAAATGCAATCAGGATTGTAGGAGAAGGGTTTGAGACTGTGCACTGATCAGCTCTGCCTCCTGGTTTCTTTATATATCCGTCTTCCAGGAAGAACTGTTTAAACAGAATCAGTGGACAAGCCTCTGTTCCTTGTGGGGAAACACCTGCAGTACAAGCATATTGCTACCTCAGCTTCCTTGAGTTTTGTATCTTTTCACTTCTGCTTTGAGCATCCCAGGTTTGCCCACAGACAAGCAAGACTTGGAGATAATAAACAAGAAAGCCAGAGGGCAGGGCTAGTATAGCTGGACAGGGAGCACTCCCTAAGAACCCTGCAAATGACACACAGGGGTTTTCAAACAGGTGCAGAAGCTGTTGGTTTTTAAATAAATGAATGAATGAATGAATGAATGAATGAATGAATGAATGAATGTGTGTATGTGTGTATGTATGTATGTTCCTAGAACCTCTAATCAAGAAGCAAAGCTCTAGTGATAGGAAATGGGCTGCTTTCATGTGAACTTGGGTTTTTGTTTTTTTGGTTTTTTTGCCCTTAGTCTCTCATGGAACCCCAGTGACTTC